CAAAAATTCTGCAATATTAATTTTTTTTAATATAATTAGCTATAGCATATAAATAAGCATGAGACAGGTTGTCCCATTTCCACTAACTGTATAAGGTCTTAAACAACCTTGTCTAAATTCAGTGTTGAACCTGCTTTGAGCAGGTGGCCTGACACAAGACCTCCTGGAGTTCCTTCTAGCCCAGATCATTCTGTGAAGTGGAATAGGAAAATATGGTATTTTTGGCAAAAGTGTTTACAGCAATGGTCTCTCTTTCTTATTTCTGGGGCAGAACAGTACAATATTATATTTTGGGACAACTCAGTGGCAACAATCCAATTTGCATGGGCACAAATTGGGGAAAAAAACATTTCATTAAAAAGTCTGGTTTCAATTCCATCTTCTTTTCCAGGAGGCTGTTCTAAACTCACAAAACTTTGCTTCAAATGCTGTTAGAGTACATGCTTTCAGCCCATCAATTACATCTTAAAAATGTACATTTCCTCATACATTTATCAGGCACCACCTACACAGTTCTTTGGCTGAGTACAGAAGAGTACATCTAATAAATATCATAAAGGTTCTCCTTAGAGAAACCAAAATAGTTTCATATTGTAAATCCATTTTTCTTCATTCACTAATTTCTATTTTTAATTTAATATTTCATTAAAAGATAATTACATGGAAAACTAGAAAGTCTGGAGCCCTTCCAGCAGTTGCATCAGACATCGATTTACCTCTGCTTTTGAGAACAATTTTAGTAACTCTCTAGCCTTTTAGCATCAACAAATATAGCATTCAGGAAGGAAGGATAGCTACCTCCATTTAAAGACAAAAATCAGCAAGGTTCTTCTCTGAGAGGATTGCTTTTTTGCCAAAGGTTTTTTTTCTTTCATCTGTAAAAATTTGTCTTAAACTTCAGCAACGTTGTCACACTGAACCAGAATGAATTCCCATGTGGTTACAGGTGGTAACTATTTCAAGAGAACGTAAGAGAAATAATGAAAGCCTCCAGATTCTAGACTCCAATCTACAGAAGTTAACGTTTCAGGCTATTCAAATACAGTAAATACCCCTGGTCGTACACATGATCACCATCTGGATCTAGCACATGAGCACTCAAATCCTTGATTGCCACATTTTATGTGACCTGAGGTTGTGAAGCCATCAGCATTTGACAATTGATAGAGTCATGTAGGTCTCAGTGTGGCTAAAAACAGACTATCAGGGAAATAATTTTGTTTTGATTAAGGATCTAGCATTTAATATTAGGGCAAATTTTTGCCATAGCCACTGATTCCACTAGCACTCTGTTGCTCTGATCCACAGAGCACTTGATGTTAAATTTGCCTTGTCACACATGAAAGGAGAGGAAGAATGTAGCATGTCAATGCCTAGAAATCCCCATTCATTTGCCACAGTATAATAATACTTAATTAATAAATAACAATAAAAATAAGATACTTTTGATTTCAGAAAATGATGTCCTTTGGAGTTGAGTCATCAGAAAGCTATTGAAACAATGAAGAAATTAAAAACTAGATCTGTATTTGAGCAGAGATCACCTGGACTATATGTATGGTTGGAGCTTCAGGATTGTGACTCCTGTAAAAACTCCATTTGGAAGCTGGGATCCCACATCATGTGAAATAATAAGTTGGAATATACTTCTCTAAACCAGAAGAGAAACAATCTTCAAGAAAGCATCAGTGGATAATAAACAAAAACAAGGCTATTTTTTCCTCTACCCAAGCAGAAGAAAGAGGAACACGACAAGGAGCTTATTCCATGTGATCACTTTATCCTCAGTACAAACAGGGGTGCACAGACTAAATAATAATATACAATTTTAAGGTCTTTTTGGCTTATTCAGAAAGAGTGAAGCATTTGGACAAAATGTAACAGCTATAAATTCTGCCTCAGATGCTGACTACACCAGCAGAGATTCTGGCAATCTAATTGTCTCTCAAAGCAGCACAGTAACAGATGCAGAAGTAAACACTTGTAAACATAAAAGGAGAGAAAGAAAATAACTCTTCAGTACTGAAATAAGTTTTTAAAAGATGAAAGAGCAGTGGGACAAAAAAAAAAATTTCCTCATAAGAAACTTATAAATAAATGTTCCTACAACATAGCTCGAGCCACTTGAAGTTTGCATTTTTTCTGAATGAATCCCCAAAACCGTATTTCTGTTGTGTCCACTCTATTAAAATAATATATATTAACTTTTTTATGCTGCATTAAGTGACCTTCCATGAGAAAAACCTCAGTAAACATAGCTCATTGTCTAAAATTAAGCAGAGATTTAATCAAGATTTTATCTAGCTTCCACCATATTTATTTAAACTCAATAATTAACATGTTATTGCTTAGAAGTTACATGATAGATAAAAGTGATAAATTAGTAGCTTTGACAATTTATTAAGAAAACTTAGCTAATTCAGTGCAGAAGGGAGAACGAGATTACATTTAAAGAAACAAAAGATTACAGCTGTTTTCCACTGTGTCTAAAAGGTATATCATTGTAAGCAAATTGTGGAGATATATATATTTGTGAGTGAGATACAACATAACAGAATATTTTTCAAATGTATGATAGAATTAATGCCTTTAAACAAGGCAAATCCTTCAGTATGAACAAAAGATTATATAAATTAAAAGATCCAATCAAGAAAACTATAAATTATTAGAGAAAAGTGTGGACTTGCTTTACCTCACCCTATATTAACTTTACCTTTCTTGAATACTTCATATGCAGGCATGCCAGATTTATAACCTGCAACTGAAGGATCTTGAGAAATTTTTCCCAGATTTCATAAAATAAAAATTCTTAAATTCTTGCCTATGAACCAGTGATGGACTTCAGTGCATTATTAGTGGTCCTATAGGAGCAGGCAGAATTTATGCACCTGATCACCTTGTTTGTAAATTGTTAACTTAGTTTAAACATACAAACAACAACAAAAAATGAAAGGATGAAATCCACAGGACTTTACTTAAGTGAGGGCCACTGCATGAAATAAAAGTTCCAGAACATCTATATTAGAAAGAAAATTTGAATTAAATTGCAGTCTCCTTTTTGGACTTCTTTAATTGACAGAATGCTAGTTGAGAATTCTGTGCAATTTTTATGTGATTGAAACAATTATGTATGGAACAGTGAAAAACCTATTATAACATGTATCTTAGAGAAGAGATATGAAAAAAATCAAACTGATACACTGGATCATTAATTAAAACATATTAGTGTAAATGGATTGAAATGTGCTGAATTAAAAACATACCATCAACATAAAACATAATTATATACCTTAACTATGATCTGGCATATGTACAAGTGCCAAAGCTAAAGCTGCATGGCAAATTTATGTATGGAATTTTCTGATTTTACTTTGTGTTATCTTGAACTTTAACTTCTCCAGACCATAGCTGTGATGCTAATTATATACATTTTACTTTAAAAGAGTTCTAGCCACGTACACCGGGATGTTTCGACAAACAAAAAAACTCTGGATCCATAAACTAAATCTTATGAAAAAACAGCTACTGTCTTAAGTGTTAGAACTCAAAAGAGATTTGACACCTTCCTCCTGCTTGCATCCCAAAACTGAGATTAACAAAATCAGTCCCAGCTCTTGCCTAATCTTTGAGTTAGGAAAAATGCAGATTCAATCTTGAAGTGCAGCAACAACTGATTAGTTTTCTTTTACTCTTTACCCTTTCCCCTTTACCCTTTCTTCCAAGATTGCCAGACAGCCTACCCTGACTGGACTTACAAACAATCCTTTGCTGTTGCAATGATAAACATGATGAGCTACTCCTCTCTCTTGTCCCAGGTTCTTTGAGGAATAAGTAAACTTTAGGTGGGTCAGAGAAAGGGAGAACCAGTCTGTAATTTAACAATTATCTTCTTTCATGCATAAGATATGTTTTCTAATCCTTTCCCTTCTAAGTACTTACTAATTTGCTAAATTTTCCTATAGAAATAGGTTTCAATACAGCTAGCGATTACTCTTCACTAACAAAAGCAATCTGAAATTTTTAGTATGCTACAACAAGGTTTTCTTCTGCTTCAGAGTGAATACAAAATTTTATGATTTCCTGTTCTTAAATATTCTTAATTCTTAGGAGCTTGGCTTTTTCAAAGGGATTAAAAATAGCTAACTTCTGTCTGCTTTTGACAAATATAAGGTGCTGTAACATAGAGGAGAAAGGCAGGTATCATGATTGATCTAAAACTGTGTTACTAAATAACTCTCCCATCTAAGAGCATACTGTAGCAATTGTTCAGTATTGTCATATATTTCTAATTTTGCCTCCAAAAGTTAAACAATCTGTATATAAATAAAGTAATTCAGTGGTATTCCACTTCAGCCTAAGCATTCAGTGTCTGATTCTTCTTCTCTGACATCATTATTACATAAGTATGTTCCAAGAAAGTGGCATTTATCTGTTTTTATAAAATGAGTGAGACTTTTAATATTTTTGGGTGAAATTAATTCACATATAAAATATGTGAATTATCTGATATTCTTACTAGTGAATTAATAAAATATGTGTACAGTACTGGAATAGAGGAGTTGACTTTGCCTTCCATAATGCACAGAACAAGTATTACATATTCAGAAGTTTATTTTAATGAATATGGACTGATTTGAGACAGTGCTTTTCATATTGAACTGCAATAAGCTACAAAATGCTACAAAATCTTTGGTTAAATTTCATTCATCATGATCTGGAGTCTACCATGAGACACCAAAAAAATAATGAATTAAAAATATTAAAAGAAAAATCCTAACTCCATCAAAGTCAAGGTTCCTATCAATTTTGATTGGGCAAGAATAATAACATGGTATATGGGAGGTTTTTAATTTTTATTTAGTAGCTTTTTAATTTAATGCACTTCAGCTCAATAAAATCAGTTGCTTCCTCCTTTAGGGAAAGTATCAGCTGTCCAATGAACTTAAAAGACAGGAAGGCAGACACCAATGCTGAGGATCTGTTGATTGCTGTGTACGTACCACCTTTCATCATTCCCACTTCATAGCATTTTCTTAGTCGGCAAGCCTGGCAACTCTTTCTTCTGTTCTTGTCAATGGTGCACTGGTTCGTAGCAGGACACATGTAGTCATTGTGCCCTGTAAAACCAGAGGGAAAGTAAGGGCACAGTTATACACAGACAAAGCAAAACTGCCTATAACATCCACTTATTTTTCATTGAGTATTTAGTACAGCATCTAATGTTTCAGGAAGGTAGGGTTACCATTGTAATCTATCATAAAAGTATTGATATGGATAGTGAAACTAACACCTATTCACAATACATTTATTCACAAGTTCTTTGAAAGTACTACTAAAAACACAAATTACAACTTCGTTAAAACAATTAAATAATGAACAATTAAAGCACTCACAAAAGCGGATAGATTGACATGAATAAGCCCCTTGACTTCCTTGCTCTTAGCCTGAGAAATACAATGCCATCTGGCCCATGTGCCTGTGTTGATGTTTAACCAATAGCCTGCACAAAATCGTTAGAGGTCTGTAGAATTAAATAGGTCTATGTACAGAGTATTTTTTTGGTATCTACCACAATCTGGGGCAGTTAAGAAACAAACAACAATAACATAAACTAGAAGCAACAACCATTAATTAATCGTATCTCAGGGATAAATCAGTGTCTAATGCCTATTTCATGTCTGCTGATATATGCAAAAACTTTTTGTTTTTAAATTACCATATGCTACAACCAAGTTTGGTACTGGTATCTTTTCCTTCAGAGCTCCACTTCCTCATTTTTTACCTTCTACATCTCAATTCTCATTACAAACATTTTCAGTGTACCATAAATTGTTACTGTCAACAAGCCTCTATTCCACTTTTCTCTTAAAAAATGTGTGCTTAAACCTGCTATAAAATTATTTTCCAACCATAGACAAGTTTAGCAAGGATAAAAAAAAACTATCCAAAATGATCTTATTGGTGCTCTGTATTAATCTAAACGCAACTAAGGTACAGCACATAACGAAACAATTTTACTGCAGAACTGTTTGTTCTTTCTTTCAGGTCAAGGGATCAGCTTGAGGTAGAGTAGGGTGTAGGTTTGACAGAGGCCTTGGTCTCATCAAATCATCTAGCCTTGACTAGAAATTAGAAAATAGAGTAAAAAATACTATCAGATTACACCAGGAACATCTGCTCTCTAAGTCTACATAACTGGGACCCAAACAAAATAAGCAGTCAAACTCTAAACTTGTTAATATGGTGACAGCTAGCTACACACTGTCTCAAATAGACAGAATTATTAAATTTTAGCTCTACTTGACAGAACAGTATAATACTGGAAGAATCTGAATCCACAGGCTTTGCTCCAGGACTGCGGTAAAGAGGTAGAACAGAAACACTACCTCGACCTTCAGCATGAAAGACCATTTTAATTTTCAGTTCCTATGGCAGGATACAGACTGTTCTATATCTGATTCAAAACATTTCATATGTACAGGAAAAAAATAAAAAATAGAGTCAGAGAGAAAACAGCCTCAATCATACAAAAATGCAATATCTACAGGGAAAAGTAGCAAAAAGGGAAAGCCATGTTTTTATGAAAAAGGACTTTTATTAGGTCACACTATACAACACCAAAAGATTGTAGCACCTGATTTCAGTTTACAGCCATGTTTTATAAGCCAATCTCTGAAACAGCATGAGAGAAAGACAGAAAACTTTAATTATTCTTTTAAAAAACACAGTATCTGATATTCTTACTAGTGAAGTTAAAAGGTAAATTCACAAGAGGAATGAGATCAGGCTCTGGATTCAGCAAATAATTCAGAACACCGATTAACTCTCTGTAAAATAAGCAGATAAATGTTCCCACTTAGGTCAAAGCTGAATACGTTTACTACCTTTGCTGGACTGGCTAATGCTCACAAGGTTCAACTCACAAAAAAAGAAAAAAAGAAAAAAAAAAGAGTGACAGTAAGAAAAAATAAAAAATCAATTGGAATCAATATCAGCAGAGCAACCATCTTTTTTCACAGTGCTTATGTGAGTAATAACATTTTCTCCTGTTCTGAACCTGGATTTCCTTATGTAAACTGCAAGTGTTTGGGAATAGGCATTTGGTTTGTAGACCAATATATAAAATAATCCTATCTGTGATAGAGCTACAGATCCTACTAAAATTAACATGACTCATATTATCATATTCTTGCATTGAAAAGTTTTATCTTAAATAAATGTTTTAAAGGTTAGCATAATTAGTCTGTTTTCATATACATGCCCTGCACCTTAGACAAACCATTCTTCTTTTAAAGTGCTTAACAGGCTTCACAGAATAAAACCTGTAAGATTTTGAATGCTAATAAAAAGAAAGATCTGTACATGAGGGCCATACTTCTTCAGATTACAAGTGCCATAGTAATATCATTGTTTAGACATCACATTAGCTGTAAATCTAGGAAGAAGATTATGCATTTAATATTTCTCATAATTTTTGGTTTACTTTAACCCACATGCCTTCAGAAGACTGGAAAAGATGTAAGCAACCAGAAGAATATATTTGATAATTAGAGTATTAGAAATAATTATTAAATTAATCAGGGAAGAAGAAAGAAACAAAGGGAAGAAGGAGGGCAAGAACCTTATCAACAATACCATGATATTTCAAATATGCAGTCACAGGAAGTGAGGAAGAAAGTTTCCTTTGCAAGACACAGACAAAGACTAGAGCAGCCCATCTTGGGGTGGTATGGAAGGGGAAAAGATAGAAGAACAAAATTAAGGAATAGGTAACACACAAAACCAAGTTTTATTTTAAATTGAAATAGTATAGCACAATAACTCTGCTGTAAGGTGTATTGTGTTTTAACTACGCTACCTTTAAATTTATCCTTAAAGCTCTTCTCTCTGTAAAGTTGATTCTGAACAATCTGAATTCCTAGAAGGGATTTCTCACTGGTAGGAATCACCAATTAAAGTGGGACATATCAACAGGTGCCCAACCGCCCCGTACTTCTTTTTCATGGTAACCAAAGAGTAATACATGCTATAAGAGAGGCGAATTAGACCATTTGGACAGTTGGTATCACAGAAATATGGAAAGGAAAAAAATGTCTTCAGTGATCACTGATACTGATAAAGGGAAGCACATGCCACTTGGACTCTGTGATCTTATTGGGGGTTTTTAAAATAAATTATGAGGTAACCTGCAAAAAAATAAAAGCAGCGAGTTTAATAGGGTAGAGCCCCTAGTTTTAATCCCTCCATGTGTATGACTTGCTCTGTCATGAGCTACAAAGAGTTTAAGGGAACTACTGGAGGAGCTCAAGGAGGGCAGTCTGGTTTTCTCATGATATCTCATACATAATACATTTTAAAACAGTAAAAATATCACTAAGTAATTTTATAGCACTTTATTATATGCTAATGTCTTTCCAAAACAGGGTGCAAAGATCTGGCTCTTTTCTCAAAACACTAATTTTAGATGTGACAATCTGTATAGTAATAACCAACAGCAGAGTGGGGCAGGATTAGGAAGTAAATTGTCAACATGAAGATAATGGCTGAAATTAGGATGATTTTGAGTTTATTCTAACCCAGTCTGTCATAATCAGAGCTTTTTCTTACTGCACTGGCAATTTGGCTTTATCTCATCACCATGAGTCATGTGGTTAGTATTTATGTTCAGAAACTCATCACTGTCCACATAAGTGTTCTCAAGATCATTGTGGTGTATGCAACAGCAGAACATGCTTGAATCTGAGTAGGTAGATGATATATCTGTGAGGGCTTCAGTCAGGAAAACACTCCATATTTCTTTAAAGTTAAGTGTTACTACATTCAGCAGAACATTTAAGCGTCTCTGTACTTCTAGCAAGTAGTCCCAATACTGTATATATGGTTAAAGTTAAGTACATGATTGAACGTTTCAATGAATTGCAGCTTTGAAGAGCTGCAATTCATTTTGTCCTTGACCAGCAAGGATGAAAATTGGGGTCATATTAATATATCAGTGTCAATTAACACAACAAAGAAATATTTTTTTTAATGTGTAAACAGTTGTCGTATTATATTCCAATAACCATCAAGATTAGCATGATGGAATGATTAGTTTAAGCAGTACAAAAGTTGTAAAAGAAAAATGAAGTAAAGAAACTGACATGTCAGCATGCCAGCTTAAAAATGCTTAATGACAATTCTACAAAGCCAATAAGGGAACATTTTTATCAGGTGAATTTTGTACTGATGTATTTTAATTGACTCATCAAAAATTTCAAACAAAGCCTGTAATAATTATCGTCCTTTAATTATTCTTTTATTTTCAGTCCTCATGTCACACAAATTACTTAAACTATTCTTCATGTATCTGCATAAGCATCTGCCAGGTTAGCTGTTACCTGTGGAAGCACTAGGTCCTTCTACAGTCTTATTCTGACAGTGAAATTAGCAGAATTTCATACATGTAAGTGAAGGGAAGGCTAGAGTGCAGACTTTATCTACATTTTAAGTGGATAAAATGTGGATAAATGATGAGTGGGAAGATTGCAGATGAAAAACAGAACTTTTGAAAGAATAGCCTCAACAGCAAGTGGAAAATTTTCATAAACAGTAAAAAGAAAAAAAAAAAATAACACCAGGGCATTGCATATGCTAACTCAGTATGAACAAATGTTGAATGTAAAATAAAAGTTATACTGATGTTAAGTTAGAGTGCCCCAACAAAACTGCACTCATTGGTTTTAAAATCTTACTCTTTCCTAACAGGTTTCACAAAAGAACAGAAGGTTATGTCTAATTCCTTTATAAGCATAGACACTTAAATTCACAGCTTAATTACCCTCATTCAAGGTCTTTGGATTTGGAACTTGGGTTCTCTTAACTACCCAGCACTGCTGAGAGATTAATCGTTTTCTGTTTTTAAATTAGAAAGACATTACTACATGTGACAGTAAGGAAAAGGGCCTAGAAGATCGTAAAACATACTTCCTTTGCATCCAGTGTGGAAATCCTCCAGCTATGCATACCTCAGAAAGAAAGATTACAGAACCAGCAAAGGATGAGAAAGGAGGAAAGGTTAAAATCTATATACTGTGTGTTATGTCCTTCAGCTGTGTCATGTAGCTCCCACAATGAGTGT